TGGTGTCCCCAAGTGTCCCCATGGTGTCCCCACATGTCCCCATGGTGTCCCTGTGGTGTCCCCATGTCTCCCCATGCATCCCTGTGGTGTTACCACGTGTCTCCACATCTCCCCATGGTTTCTCCACATCTCCCCATGGTTTCTCCGCATGTCCCCATGGTGTCCCCAAGTGTCCCCATGGTGTCCCCACATGTCCCCATGGTGTCCCCACATGTCCCTGTGGTGTCCCCACATCTCCCCCTGGTGTCCCCGCATCTCCCCATGGTTTCCCCATATGTCCCCATGGTGTCCCCACGGTGTCCTCACCTGGACATCATGGACAAGCCCCCGCGCAGCCCCAAGGAGCCGCTCATCAGCGGGTGGCTCTTCTTCCGCTACCTGGCCATCGGTGGTGGGTGTCCCCGAGTGTCCCCATGGTGTCCCCACATGTCCCTGTGGTGTCCCCACATCTCCCCATGGTGTCCCCGAGTGTCCCCGAGTGTCCCCATGGTGTCCCCATGTCTCCCCATGCATCCCTGTGGTGTTACCACGTGTCTCCACATCTCCCCATGGTTTCTCCACATCTCCCCATGGTTTCCCTGCATGTCCCCATGGTGTCCCCACATGTCCCCATGGTGTCCCCACATGTCCCCATGGGGTCCCCATGGTGTCCTCATGTCTCCACAAGTGTCCCTGTGGTGTTACCGCGTGTCTCCACATCTCCCCATGGTTTCTCCACATCTCCCCATGGTTTCCCCGCATGTCCCCATGGTGTCCCCAGGTGTCCCCAGGTGTCCCCATGGTGTCCCCGTGTCTTCTCGTGTGTCCCTGTGGTGTTACCACGTGTCCCCACATCTCCCCATGGTTTCTCTACATCTCCCCATGGTTTCCCTGCATGTCCCCATGGTGTCCCCACATGTCCCTGTGGTGTCCCCACATCTCCCCATGGTGTTGCCAAGTGTCCCCAAGTGTCCCCATGGTGTCCCCATGTCTCTCCATGCATCCCTGTGGTGTTACCACGTCTCCATATCTCCCCATAGTTTCTCTCCATGTCCCCATGGTGTCCCCATGTGTTCCTGTGGTGTCTCCACATCTCCCCATGGTTTCC